AGTATGAAATGTGAAACTTTGAAAATTCTTAGCATTACTTTAACTAATTCGCAGATCGAAAAAAATGATGTTAGCAACGAGTTTTGTAGTTTAATTAATCGTAATTTTCCTAACCTACAGAGGGGTGACAAAAAAATTTCCACACCTAAGGACTTGATTTATATCTCAAAAACTTAGTAATTAATTTATGTCCTTGATTTGTTTATATAAATAATTATTCCTTAATATTATATCATATTATTTTTATACTTGCATAATTAGCAAGTTATTTAACTTAACTTCAATCGAATCAGATTGCATTACGTAGTATATTATTGTATCAGTAATATCGGCTGATTTAAATTTTTGCAAGATTAAACAAATATGATATTATTTTTTATGTTGAAATTTGCTAATTGGTAATTACCACATGTTTTTTAATAATAATTCATTTATTATTAGTCTGTTCCAAGGAATAGAGCAAAAAACAAAAAACAAAAATAAAATTAAGCAATTGCTACAAACAATTATCATTAAATTGTGTATGCATTCTTGCAATATTTACTAATTCTAATATATTTTTCCCTTTAATGTTATGGAATTCAGGGAATTCCAGATTTCTTAATTAGGAAGTTATATTCGCTTTCACTTGCACCAAGAAAATAATTTGCATTTAGCTTGACTTCGATCATCTCATTTGGCGTAATATTTGTTACTCACTTTCTCAAAATAGAGCGTGAATTAATATTGCCAAAAATCATTACTCTTCCATTTATCTGTAGTTTTCTCCAATGCAATTGCATTGCCCAAGTGAAGAAAAACTAAGTGGCATTGCACAACTTAGCAATGAATAATAACATTATGCAAAGATTTAAATAACTGCTATAAACAAACTATCGTAGGATTTGATCAAAGATTCATCGAGAGTATATGGATGTTCTTATGGACAGTAATTCGTGATATAACGCTAAATAGACCACTCCTAATGCTATCACTATCCCTAAATAGACAATAGAAGCCTATCACTATGGAGACCTTTTTTAAATAGACCTAAAAAATCAATGATAACGACATATTACGACGCAAATGATTATTGTGCAACCGATGTCATGATTATCATAAAAGGGGATGATAACGACACTCACATCTTTAGATAATCAAAGAATGTCATCAAAAAAAATCAATATGAATAGGAGAGAGAATCCATTTTCCACTCCGATTAGGCAAAAAACTTCATTAACTAGCCCGTCATCATTAGATTCTTACAACTCACACTTCGTCCAATTTAAGCACTCCTTCTAAGACAATGCCAGGATCGAATTCGAATGAAATGGATCACGTTTTATATTTCACGAAACCTTATACTGAGCGGAAGCTAATAAAATTTCTAAAAAGAAAAAAAATACAAACAAGCCTAACAAGATAATTCTTGGAAAGATGAATATGAAACTTACAAAGACATATAAACCTAATTTTTGATGAGCAACTACACTTGGTAATTTTAAATAACTGATATTCAAATTAACGGAGATCCAATACAATAATGATTCATAATGATGCTCCTAACATTTTTAAAGAAATGTTTAAAAAATATTTGACAGGTGGATTGATTTTCGAATTTTTTGCCGGTGTCAAGTTAGTGTCGGATCGGAAATCGGCGAGTCTGTCGCTAAACTAAGCCAACTATCATGTAACCTACAGCGGCTAAGTCGAAACAGGCGTGTTAGATTTGGCGAGTGGATTATCGTCCGTAGATAAGTACTGGTCTCTTGAGTCTTTTCTTCAATCTACTCTTCTAATTCTTATCTTCTTTATTGTCTTCACCGGGATTTCACTACGTCGAATCAGGGTTGGAGCTCTTCTTCTCTTTTGTTACGGTTTACGGGGCACGTGACTATGGCAATCAATCAATACGGATTTAATTTATTATTGGGCGAGCGGGTAACGTCAATAAAAGGAGGTTAACGTTAGTTACTAGTATTTATAGAACAGCATCTTCACTTTTATTAGGGGTCGTGTAGGTACTTTATTATTTCGCAATTGTCATCACTGGCTTTCTGCCTGGGCGAATTGCCCTTTATTTATAATTAACCATCTTGTCTATTTATATTATGCCTTTGTCAGATATGTCGAACATATCGAATATATTGTATATATCGCATATATCACACTTATGCAATATAGGCGATATATCAGATATATCAGATATATCAAATATATCTGACATATCTGACATATCAGACATTTCTGATATTCGGGATCTAAGGCACGTAATATCGGTCACGTTTTCGGATCTCACATTAGTTACCAGAAGCTATTGAAATTGAAGAGGAAGAAAATATCTGTGAAAATTTTTCTAACAATGAAGAAAATTATAATTATTCAAGGGTATTATACATCCTTTGTGAATTGGCACTTATATCATTTAAGGCAACAAAAAGAATAAAGGGGCTAAAGAAATTTAATCAATTCTTTGTGCCCAGCCATATTACATATACATGCTGGCAAAACTAAAAATTTCAAAATTCCACCCAAATCCTAAATCCAAAATATAATAAAATTGTCTCAAATCCCATCTCAAACATAATAAAATCAGCGCTATTATTTGTGAAAACTTACATAGTAACAAAGAATCAGAAAAGCATTAAAATATTTAAAAATGCAACTATTAAGACTGAAAATGCAAGCATATTTTACGTGATGGTTTTACTATATAAACAGTTAGAGCAAGATGCTATTTTCAAAAGCCGCAGAGTTAGATCTTACTAAAGCAATAAAGAAATGTGAGAGTTAAATATTAGTTTCTAATAAACTGTAATTCATATTATTTTTATTTTAATAAAATATTCGTTTATTTAATTGAATTCTTTCATAAGTAATTCACAAATTAAAACAAAATCTTGATATATGAGTGCATTTACAAAACATTTCTTGATATTTTCATCTAAATTACTAATTAAACTATCATAAGTATTATTGATATCATGAAAATTTTTTACAGAAACTTTAGAATTAATATACAAGTTTTGCTTGTATTGAAATCTATTTTTAATAATATAAACTTGTACATATTCAGGTAAGTTTACATAATTATCATTTAACAAGACTTCAAATTCAGATAATTTATTTTTAATAAAATTTTGAACTGAAACAGGTTTACCTTTAGGTAAAATTTTGATTTTATCTATCATCACTTGATCGAAAACTACAATATCTTGGATCGAAGTGATAAGGATAAATTGTTTTAAATCTTCTTCATTTAGTTGGTTTACAATATTCTTAAATTCTTCATAAAGACCAGAATGAGAAGATACTTCTTTTTCATTAAAAGTATCCTCCTTGTAAGGTCTGCGTTTGTCAAGATAATCATTAAATTCAAAAGGTAAATTTTTAAGAAGAAGTTCTTTGGCACTTTTATGTTCTTCGAGAAAATTGTTTGACATTTTTTTAAAAAGTTTCTGAAAAAATTCAAAATGGTCGAATAAATAGCAAATGAAGATCGACAACATGATCTACATCAACAATTAATGAGACAATACAAACCATGAAAACTTGTTATTGTAAAACACTATAAATAATTTTTAGATTGAGATGGCCGGTAGACGAAAAATAATGTGAGGTTGGCGGAATCATATTAAGGAAGTGGCACTTATTACATAAATATAACCTCAGGAAAATGTCAATTGACTGTGTCCCCACATCCCAGAGAACCAACTAAAAGTTCACGAAGGCCAATTTGACATTGTATGTAAATATGTTATTAACGTTTATCCTATCATATGAATGAAAAAATAATGTCATAATCTGCAGGTCACATCACTGGTTGTTTATCTAATATTATATTATTCTCGCTCGGATTACTTTATTTAAATATATATGGAATAACATCATGGGAGTAGTGCGCTCGCTGCAAGTCATGCAGGTCATGTGATGAAAGTATAGTGAGCATCGAATACATAGTCGTGGTGTGATAATACAAGTAGATGATAAAGAAAAAGTATCTATATACATAATACATAAATTTGAAAGTTGGTAAAACAATATTTATACAATAATATGATGCTTATGCATAGGTGTAGCGACCTAAATAAAAATGTAAATATAAATATATTTATAGATTAAGAACTGGGCAAATGCAAGATTTACCAGTAGTAAGGTGCCCACGCCGGGATGTAGCAACCTTTAATTTAAACAACGTACACAATATTGTAATATGTATCTGTAATAGTAAGTAATAAATTCTAAATCGAAAACTGAGTAAATGCAAGATTCAATGCAGTAGTAAGGTGCTAACGCCCAGGAGTAGCGATCTTCAAATAAAGCATTAAAATAAGAACTGGGTAAATGCAAGATTTACTGCAATAGTAAAGATGGTATAATAATATATATATCTGTATGTTATTTTTGGGGGGAGGGTAGGGATTAAACACGATAGAGCCAGATAATGATAATTGGGCAGCGAAAAAAACAAGCACTCCTGAACATTCCCTATTCCTACTTCTTTAAATTCTCATTTCATTCATCCCTAATTTCATTTTCTTAATTTCTCATTTCATTCATCCCTTAATTCCTAAATTCATATAACTCTTTATTCTGGTTACACATATCTTTGATCAGGACAATCCTTGCGATAATAACACTAACGCTGACTATGTCAGCTCACGTGTCAGTAACATTCAAATAAAATACTACAGCAACAGTATAATTTCGATAAAACTTAAATCGGTTTATTATTTATCTGTTTATGAAAAAACTCACCATTACATTAAAATATATAGTACACTATGATTTCATGTGAAATTTCTAAATAGATTAATATAATATATTGTTAGAAACATAATGAACAAAGAAAAAACAAATGAAGTTTGATGGATAGAGAATGTTACAATAAATGTCTTAAGATATTAAAAAATCATATATTTAGAAATGGTAAACATAAAATGTTCAACATCCAAGTTATACAATTTATACCATGCAAGTATGGTCAATTCAAGAACACTCAACTCAAGAACATCCAACTCAAGAAAATCCACTTAAGAATGTTCAGTAAACAGAAATTTTTTGAATTTTAATTAAAATTTTACTAAAACTAATGCAATATAATATAATATTTCTCTAGAGAGGATTTTAGAAAAAATTTACTGATATAATTTAAATTGAAATAACAGCACAAATAATAATGGTTCAAATCAAAAGATTTTTGCAATTGCTGAAAAATAAATTGCAGAATTAAATCTTGCTTTTATAGAAAGAAAAATTCAGTATACTCAAACCAAACATTTTTAGTTTCATTAAATTTTAATATAGCTTGTAAAATTTAAATATTTTTGATTACATATAAACATTTCTGACAGTTTTTTTTTTAATTTGCAAATTTTATACTGATTGAAAAATAGCATGTATTAATTAATAATTAAAAATAATGCATAATATAACCACAAGTCTAATTTATTCAAATCAAGTGAAGCAAATACAATACATCTAGATATAGAACTGCTGTTATCATTATTATGTTATATGAATAATTTTTACGTATTTAATATATCGGAAATCATTCGTTATTATTATTACTATATGACCAAAATATGACACTTTTTTAATATAGCAAGATAAACTAAAAAATTCATTATATAATACATAGTCACTCAAGTGAAGAACCCTAACCAGCTTTATCTATGTAATAAACGAACTTATTCGGCTAGTTCAATCTGAGATTTGAACTCAGTCAAACTAGTTCTACCAATGACCCACCAAGATCAGTTACGTAATCTGTATTTAAAATTTTGATTACCGAATTCTGACGATTTTAATATCGAATGCATAACCAAATAAAAAATGATTCAATAAAAAATTCCGAATTTTATCAAAAAAAAAAAGCGAAATTCCAAGTTAATAATATTCTATCTTATTAATATAATTGGCAGAAATACTTTAAACAGCTTTGATTTCCTGGTATGAAAAGAGTGTTCAACATAATTCTTTATTTAGGCAGTAAAATGTACTTTATTTCTTCTATTCCATGTTTTTGGAAGACTTTTCGCATGCTTCTATCATTTATCATTTTTTTGAATCAATATTTGTTAAAAAAAGTTTTTTTTTTATTATTATCAAAAGACATTTCAAGATTATGCGTATATTCAATAACCTCTATATGAACAAATATACTGTATATTATACATCGTAAAGAGTCTCTTTTATAATTTTCTGCAAATTTTAGTCTTAGCATCTGCCTTGTCCGCTTCAGCTACATTATTATATTCAGAAATGGTTGAATTCGTATTCAATTAATCAATTGTTGTTAATGTACGTATTATCTTTTAATTAATGGGTATAATAAATAAATATACCTTCGAAGAAATAAACATCCATTTTCCAAGTGGATCAATAAAAAAAAAACTGCTTATTAAAAAATAAGAACAAAGAAATATACACTGCCTATTATCTATTGACATTTTTCTGTGTTTTGATAGTATGTGTATTAAGATTTCCCACTCTTTTAAAATTATCACGCCCTGAGATCTATGCCTCTTTTAACCGTTTAATACAGATCTTTTTATTGTTGATTTTTTTGATGTGTAGCAAAAAAATTTTCTTTGATATTTATATATAGAAAAAAAGAAAATCAAAGTTTCTTTTTTTTTGATTAATAATACAGAAATTGTCATATTAATCGTTGAAACTCCGTACGTAACTGATCTTGGTGGTCATGCTAGGTTCGTGTAGTTCTACCAGTCGTCAAAGCAAGAAAGTACAGAAAGCAATTCAGAACATTCTATCGAACAAAATGTAAATTTGGATGCTTTACAAAAGTCCGCATCGAACGTATTTCACGTACAATGTACATCTATACGAGAGCCCATTTATACTGGAAGATTTAAAAAAACAAGAATAGTTAAAGTCATTTCGTAATATAGAACAAATAAAGATAGATTGAAAATGAAAGACTAAGGAGGAAGAGAAAAAAACTCACATCAACTTCTGTAAATTTTTCTAAAGGGAATAGATCTGGATGCTTGGTGATTAAATTGTTGAGGAGTTGAAGGTAATCATCACTAATTTGCTGTTTCAACTTTTGGGTTAGATGATAAAGCGAAGAGCCAGCGCAGATTTCGAGTTCTTCGTCATTAAAGCATATAACTGGTTGGTAGCAATTTCACGTGTGCCCGCCTCCCATCATATCCCGTTTCACACGACTTGATGAAAAGAAGAAACACTGCTAGTATATCATCAACTGATAACGGTGGTTCTACGGTACGTATGACAGTCCCAATGACCGGGTCACTAAGTGCTACATCTATCGTCCAGAGATGTGATCCTGGCACTGTAAGGACTACATCGTGAGGCTTAAAGGGCTGCAGAGTTTTAACGCCACGTCCCGTATCAGGGAAATCTTCTAGTTGTAGCCATTGACCGTAAACATCAAGCCAATTTAGAATTTGATTTTTCATAAGTAAATTTAAATTATTATAGAATTTTTCTTGAAAGATTTTTTGTCAAAAAATAAAACTTGAAAATCTCGCCTAAAAAAAAAAACTAGACATTTTATACCAAATTAGAAATTGTTCAATTCTTGTAATTTGATTGCTTATAATATGTCTTTAAATAAAAAGATTTTGTAATATATAAATTCATACAAACTGAACGGTCGAACTGGACTGTCAGTTTGTATGAACTTGGTATGAAAACCTGCCTGTAGATTTTTAGGAGACGTTTTAGACTAAGATCGATGATAATAATTATAATACGACAGGATGAACCTGTGGGATTTTATCTGCATCAAAAAGGTAACCTAATATCACAAAACTAAATTCAAGATTTGTTTTTCAAGGTCATTTCTTTATAAAAAGCTCAGATCGGTTAATAACATAAACTTATTAAACTTTTAAATAGTAATTAAAAGCCTTTTTTTGATACTGAGGACCAACCTAAAGTTTTCAGATTTCTCAATTTTATTTGGATGTTTCGAATGATAAACAATAAGTTTAAAAAAAAACAGATTGTTTAAATTGATTATTTATCTATACAATACAATTTAAACCCTTTTTAATATAAAAGTGTTGTAACATATTTTTTTTATATATTTCTTTTTTTAAAAAGTTTTACTTATAAAATTCTTATGCCAGACTTTTGCAAACTGGCCTTCCTTGGCCCTCCAGGGACTAATTCTCACCTTGTATTTTTTTTTTAATTCTTGTTAAGGCAAATTTAAGTTTACTAGACAAAAACTAACTTTTGTTTTTTTTAAAGGCAGCTCATATTTTTTACAAGAAATATTTTGAAGAATATGGAATTAAACTTGAACTTATTGCTAAAGATAACATAAATGGTAATGCTTTTTTGTATTTATATTAAATTTCTTATACAAAATTTACTTACTTAACATAAAAGAGGTGTTTACTAGTCTAGAAGAAGAACACTACGTTATCGTTCCTTTTCTAATCAT